ATTTGCTCACATCAAGTTGTTCGTAGATAATTACTATGAATATCTTGCTTTAACTGATGTCGAATTAGCCTTGGCCATTGGTAAACAAATCAATGTGCCACAATCGATGTTAAAAAGCCAAGCTAGTTTGAAGAGTTATGAAGATGGAGAGATTAGTTTGAAGCCATTGGGAATAGTGTTTGTTGGAAAGAATAAGAAGGGGAAGATTACAAAGTTTTTGTTTCAAGTATGTGATGTTGAAAAATATACCACACCTCATTATACAAACCTTATTGTTCGAATGAATAGTTGTGCAAGAAACAATGAAGGTGACAAGGCAGAGATTCGCAAGGTGGTTAACTGGTATACACAAGTTCGTAGGGTAATTCACCAAGCTGCTCAGATGCTGATGACTTAGATTCAACACTTCTCACAAAGGGGGAGAATGTTGATATCGAATGTTGTTGTGAGATGTAAAAGGCTGTTTTTCTTGTAGTGTGATGATTAATCGGATTGGATGACATGTAGAAAACACTAACATTATCACAATAGAAAATAGTTGGCTTGGTAGGTTTATGATGAAGCTGAAGAAGTAAATTCTAAAGATAACATGCTTCGCCCACTAAATTGGCAACACCTTTATATTTCTCTTTAGCCTTGATCGATATATCATGTTTTGATGCTTGGAAGACCAAGAAAGAAGATTATGACCTAGAAGGACACAACAACCAGATGTAGAGCACCGAATCACAGGGCAACCGCCCCAGTCAACAATAGAGTAACATTAGAGTAGGAAATAAGAGTTTGATTGGGAGAAGAATACAATTGTAGACTATAAGTAGCAGTTCCTCAAATATACTGTAAAAAACGTTTGAGTGTTGTAAAATAAGGCTCCCTTGGGTCATGGATGTATAAACATATCTGTTAGACATCATAAGTGATGTCAGGACGAGTAAACATGAGATACTATAAGGAATGATATAAATAAAGTGGTATCAACAACAGGAGGACCATATCCATAAAACTTAGCAGATAAATCAGCAAGTGTAGATGTTGGTTTGCATCTAGTAATAGAAGCTCGATCAAGAACCTTAGTGGCATATTTTTGTTGAGTCAAGAACAATCCATCAGTTGATTTGATTGGGTAGCAAAAATACCTAGAAAATAGTCAAGATCCCTAAGGTTTGACATAGAAAATACGACACTCAGTAGAGAAATAATGTGAGTTAGCAACTAAGGGGAAGATCCACTAAGAACAATATCATCCATGTATAACAGAAGATATGCCATATGATAACCTTGTCTGTATATATAAATAAAGAAGAGTCACATCTACGATGAACAAATTCAACACGTGAGATAAACATGGAAAAGCATTGAAACCACGCGCGAGGTGCCTGCTTGCGACCATAAAGGGATCACAGAAGTAAGCGCACATGATGTGGTCGAGAATGATCCCTAAAACCCAATGGTTGTTTCATGTATACAGTTTCCTGTAAAAGTGCCCAAGAAGGAAAGCAGTTTTCACATCAAATTAACAATATGCCACTTATAAGTAATTGCAGTAGTAAGAATTGTGTATATAGTGGTAGGCTTAACAACTAGAAAGAACGTCTCATTACAATCAATACCGGTTCATTGGTTGCACCCATTAGCAACAAGACGAGCTTTATATCAAGATAATGACCCATTTTCATTAAGTTTCTTTTTAAACAACCAAAGACAGTTAATAACGTTAACAATCGGTGGAATTGAAACAAGTACCCTTGTTTTTTTTTGAGATCAGAGCAGTACATTCTTGTATCATTGCATTAAGCCATTCCAGATCATTAAATGCCTACAAATAATTTTTAATATTTTTTAGGGACAGGAGAGGAGGTGTCAACATGAAGGTTGAGCTAGCAAATTGGTTTAAAAATGTCTTGTTTTGCACGAGTGACAATTAGGTGTTGAGATTTAGCAACCTTAGAAGGGAGAACCGAAGATAGGGGAAAGACCGGAGGGCTGGAAGGAACTGAACACGGCTGATGAGAGCCAATGAGAGATGAGTGCGAGTCGGTAGTGGTGGGAGAAGATGCACAAATTTGTCAAAAACGTCATGCATTTGGTACAAAAGGTCGGAATCAATATTTCATAAGATACTCTCAATATATACATCATATATACAAGAATAATGAGAAAAGGCCGAGACACATAAGTCGGACTATATAAAAATAATAGAAATACACATAATATTAATATACTAACAAATTCTTCACTGAACAAACTGTCGAACAGTTGGTGTGCAAAACAAATTTACAAGAAAAAACTTGACAAATCCTGTGAACAAAAGTACGACAAGAGGACTACATGAAACTAATCCGTTATAGAGAATGACACACATACGAATGATCAGAAATGCACAAATTTTTCAAAAATGTCAGATTTGGTTCGAATAGGATAGACTCTCACAAAATGAGAGTAATCTTCCATACATCAGAATGTATTAATTCAAAAGGAAAATGCTAGACAGAAGTAGAGAAACATCTGAGGGAGTGCAGTGGGCTCATGATTTTGTTATTGGCATGGTAGGCTTGTTGTTACTGATATGGGTTGTTGTTAGGATGAGGGAATGCAATGAATTAATGTTGCTGAAGGGCTTAGTGTTGTTGGATCGACTTCTGTTTGGTCCAGTACCATGTGGACTTGGCAAAGGAGTAGTTCCATTTGGGTTTGGCAGTAAGCCTTGCTGAAAAGAACCATTTGTGGTCGGGTGAACTTGAAACCATCCGTAGGCTCATGCACAAGATTTGTTTCGGAAACCTTGGCATCCATGTGCTCTAAACGATGAGCAATAGTTTTAATTTTATTGCAATAATTTGTGATGGAGGAATTACTGAGTGAAATAATTTGAAGCTCTCTGTCGAGTTGGATGACCTTGGAGGCTTTTTTGTCAAGAAAAACTTTCTCAAGATTTTCCCAAAATTCAAATGCAGTAGCTTGTTTCTTGAATATCATATTGAGAAGAGGGATGGAGAAAGTACCATATAAGCATGATTTTACAATTGAGTCCATACGTAACCATTTAGCCATGGCATCCGCCGACTCGAAAGTTGCCTTGTCTTTCTCTTTCTCGGTTGGAGATGAATGAGTAGGAGGGTTAAAATGATCATCTACTCCATACCCAATGCAATGAATTTCAAATAATTCTCGCCGAATATCGTAATTCATCTGATCCAGATCTAAGACGAATGGGACAGCTTGTTTTATGTTGATTTTAGATGACGGTTTGTCAATATACTACCTGACATGAGAGGGTAAAGAGATGAAGATTGAAAAAATATCGAAGAAGAAAGAAAGAAGAAGAAGAAGATCGATAGGGGAGAATATGATCGACCGGGATAGAGCTGTCGAGTAGGGTTTAGAACGATACTAAAATGTAGGATGCTCTGATACCATGAAATCGTCTATATTTCCCATGAATCGAAATTTCCTTCGATACCCTCCACAAACATGGGCCGGATTATATAAAAATAATAAAAATACACATAATATTAATACACTAACAAATTCTTCACTGAAACTGTAGAACAGTTGATGTGCAAAACAAATTTGCAGGAAAAAGCTTGACAAAACATGTGAACAAAAGTACCACAAGAGGAATACATAAAACTAATCGGTTGTAGAGAATATGACAAACATACAAATGATAGTACCAAATACGGTGGCTAGGCGATGGTATGTAATTGGCTAAAATAGAGGACAGATCAAGTACTTTATAGCCAGTTCCCACTGAAACTAAGCATACTAATATGAAAAGGAATTCAAGAGACCATTTTGGATCATGTCACAGTGTTACTTTCGCATTTTATGTGTCTCCACAGCTTCTTAGGCAAACTAACGCAGGTTCAAGCAAGAAAATAATATGGGGATCAAATATGAATTCCGCTATAGCACAAGGGCATAAACCGTAATTTACTCAAGACCATTTATTTTAAGTTAAGTTTTCTTATGAAAGTGTTATGATTCAAAAAAACGCTTTGGAAAAACTAATGTTTTAAACTAGTACCCGTGTTTTGAAATTGCATATTCAAATCATTTAAACATATTTTGAGTGCAGTTCTTTTATTGTTTTGCATTAATTACAATAAAGAAACTATGGCATACGTTTATCAGATCAAAAGTCAATGAGATTACATAGATAAAGATTGTCTGCGGGTTTTAATATGAAAAAGGATTGAATATGATTGATTTTCAGTAGATGGGAGAGAAGATGACCATCAAAACAGCTGAAAATTTATAAAACGAGTAAATCACAAATTTCATTTTCTGTGTTTACTGAAAATTAATAGTTTGGTTCAGGTTTTGATTTATCAGTTTTCGCAACAACGTGCCCATGCATGAAGTCAGTTTGTTGCAGATAATGATCTCAGAATCACCAAAATATAACTAATTACCTGTCACTTCTATAAGATGAGATATTTATCGTGGACCAAATTTGTATTTTGTCAAACAAATCCAACAACTTACAGATTCACATTCCAAGGCGGCTGTTGATGGATTTTTCTTAGTTAACAAAATTAATTGAATTAAACAATTCAAATAAATCCAACAAATTAATCATCTAACAGTCGTTTTAATTTCAAGGATTTAACTGTCTAATGTCTTCCCCCTATTTTAAGCAACTACAGCGATCCAACGAAGAAGAAGACTTGGATGTTTGGAACCAAAGAAACTAAATCCATTAATGAAACCTTTTAAGATGAAGATCCAAACCCTTGAAGCTGTTCATTCAGACATCCCAGACACATGTTCAAAGAATGCACACTGACTTCTATATAAAAAAAGAACAAAAAAAAAAACTATGACTTTGTCCAAATATTCCTTGTGGCAAAAAGTATGACTTTCTCGAAATATTCCTTGTTGGAATAGGAAAATAACAAAAAAAAAAAAACACAAGTGAAAACGATTGCTCAAGTTTCAAGTATAAATTAGGGGGAAATGAGCCATAATTTTTCAAAATGAACTTGGTAAATCAAATAATGTCTTCTTCAAACTTCTTAGTTTTCTCTCTAGCTCTACTAATCATGACACTCTCCTCCATACCAAAATTTTCTTTTGCTTCTATGGAGGAAGCAAATGCTCTTCTTCAATGGAAAACAACCCTTCAAATCCCAAACAACTCGTTGCTCTCTTCATGGATTCCTCTCCCTCTGAATTCCAGTGCATCGGTTCCATGCAATTCTTGGTTTGGAGTGGTTTGCAGTGCTGATGGGAGCATTCAAAAGTTGAATCTCAGTTCATCTGGATTAAATGGTACGCTTTACCGATTTTCATTCTCTTTGCTACAAAATCTCACACATTTTGTTCTCAGTGTAAACAAATTCTTTGGCCCCATCCCATCACAAATTCAACTCCTGTCCAAACTTGTGTATATTGATTTTTCAGAGAATATGTTTTCTGGAGTAATTCCACCTGAAATAGGGATGCTAGCCAGTCTTGAGACCCTATACCTAGTTCAAAATAAATTGATTGGTTCAATACCACAAGAAATCGGCCAGCTAACCTCTCTCTATGAGCTTGGATTGTATGATAACTATCTTCAAGGAGAATTGCCTCCAACATTGGGAAATTTGACAAAATTGTCTTATCTGTATCTCTATAATAACAGTTTACGTGGTCCTATACCTACTCAACTTGGGAATTTGAAGTCACTCATGGAACTTGTGGTGAGAGACAATCAATTTATAGGTTCTATTCCTTCATCACTATCAAACCTGAGCAACCTACAATATCTGTACCTCTATCGCAATAATTTATCTGGTCCCATTCCTATTGAACTTGGGGATTTGAAGAATCTCATTGATCTTCAGGTGAGTCATAATCAGCTTAGTGGTTCTATTCCTTCATCACTAAAAACCCTGAGCAACCTACAGACTTTGTACCTCTTTGAGAATAAATTGTCTGGTCTCATTCCTATTGAGCTTGGGGATTTGACGAACCTCTTTGATCTTCAACTGAGCTACAATCAACTTAGTGGTTCTATTCCATCATCACTAGCAAACCTCAGCAACTTACAGTATCTATACCTCAATGGGAATAGATTATCTGGTCCAATTCCTACTGAACTTGGGAATTTGAAGTCTATTATTGATCTTGAGGTGGGCGACAATCAACTTAGTGGTACTATTCCTTCATCACTAACAAAGCTGAGCAAACTACAGTGGTTGTATCTCCACCAAAATAATTTTTCTGGTCCCATTCCTAGTAACCTTGGAAATTTGAAATCACTGAATGGTCTTCGGGTGAACAAAAATCAACTTACTGGTTCTATTCCTTCAACAATGGGTGATTTGACATCTTTGAAACAACTTTATATGCACCGCAATCAGCTCTCTGGTCCCATTCCTTCTGAACTTGGCAATTTGAAGTCTCTCACCGATCTAGCATTGAACGACAATCAACTTAGTGGTTCTATTCCTTTGGAGTTTAGAAATTTAAGTCAATTACAAAGGCTTAATTTGTCTTCGAATTATTTGATTGGTAATATTCCAATGGAGTTTTCGAAGATGAAAAGTATGTTGTATTTGTACTTGTCTGATAACCAACTTTCAGGTTTTATGCCTCCAGAGCTCGGATCACTCCGTGATCTCCTTGAAATAGATCTATCAACAAATAGACTGAATGGGTCGATACCAATAAGTATTGGGAATTGGGTAAACATCTACTACTTGAATCTTAGTGATAACAAGCTCCATGGAAATATCCCATCTGAGATTGGTAACTTACGTCAACTTACGAAAGTTGATTTATCTCATAATTTGCTCATTGAAGAGATACCCTCAGCAGTTCAAAGTTTGCAAAGTTTGGAAGAATTGGATTTTTCTCACAATAAACTATCAGGTTCTATTCCAAATGCTTTTGCAAGTTTGCCTAGTTGGATTAGTATCGATTTATCTTACAACGAGCTCACAGGTCTAGTTCCCCCTAGCTTTAACTTTGTGAATGCGTCTCTACAAGGCAATGCAGGTTTGTGTGAAAATTTTTCAGGACTGAAACTTTGTCCAAGCCAAATTACAAAAAATAAAAACGATCATTTTCATCATAAGCTCATACTAGTAATTATGCTCACTCTTATCGGGGCTGTGTTACTTGGTTTATTCACGTATGGCCTCGTTGCTTATCGAAAACAAAAGAAAAATTCTCCACAGAAACCGGTGGACAATGAAAGTGGTGATTATTTCTCAGTTACAAGTTTTGATGGAAAAGTAGTGTATGATGATATCTTCAAAGCAACAAATGATTTCGATGAAGCATACTCTATTGGGACTGGAGGATATGGCATCGTTTACAAAGCCGAGCTACAACCTAACAATGTGGTAGCTGTCAAGAAACTTCACTCATCACCTGAGAATGTCGATCACAATGGCTTCCATAATGAGGTACGAGCATTAACAAACATAAGGCATCGAAACATAGTGAAACTCTATGGATATTGCTCCCATGCCCGCCACTCATTTTTCATTTATGAATACCTTGAAAAGGGAAGCCTTGGATCAATCTTGAGAAGCGATGTCTTAGCAAAAGAATTGGATTGGTTGAAAAGGGTAAATATTGTAAAGGCTGTAGCTAATGGTTTGGCTTATATGCATCACAACTGCTCACCTCCAATAATTCATAGAGACATTTCCATATCCAACATCCTTCTTGATTCTGATTATGAGGCACATATTTCTGATTTTGGCACGTCCAAGCTTTTAAAACTAGACTCATCAAACTGGACTGCAATTGCTGGCACCTATGGTTATATCGCGCCAGGTAATGTAATCTTGTGATTGTAATTCTGCATCTTCTTAGAATCTTACGCGGTTGATATAGTTTTTTTAATCTTAATTATGTTTCTTTGGATGTAGAGCTTGCTTATACGATGGTGGCAACGGAGAAATGTGATGTGTATAGCTTTGGTATTGTTGCACTTGAAGTGATCATGGGAAAGCATCCCGGTGAACTACCAACATTGTCTGTTGATTATTTGTTGTTAGCAACTATTGGTGATACTCGGATATCTCCTCCCTCATCCCATGTTGAGAAACAAGTTAACTCAGTACTGAGACTCTCAAGAGCATGTTTGAACTCCAATCCACATGAAAGACCAACAATGCACCAAGTTTCAAATTTGTTAATGAATGACGGATTTTCTTTGAATTGACATCTCTGGTTGCCTGATATAGTGTACTTCCAATGTTTAATCTTCTCAAGTTTCCTATATTGTATCCTGATAATATGTATTACAGTATTAGTTAGAATGCTTAATTTTAAGAAACTTTTCATATGTTTTATTATAGCACCCTGTATATATAGTATATATTTGTAATGTGGAGAGGTGTAGAGTGTGTATGTGATCGTGTTTGGGGAAAGAAATGAAAAATAATTGCTTCAAAATTCTCATAGATTTGGGCCTCTCTATTATTTGTCTTCTGGTGTATGTATACATACACAAGCAATGAAGCAATAGGGAAAAAAATATCCAATACAAATAGTAAAATATTCTACTCAAATACAAATAGCAATAAAGTATTAAACAATTTATAAGGAGACACAATCCCAAGTAACAAATACCAATAGAGTAAAGTTACCAGATGTTGGTCATCCATCAATCCATCATACACTTGACCCGGTGCAATAATATTTTTTTTTCACAAATGCACGTCAAATACATATACAAGTAGTGTTTTAGATGATACATACAGAAAAAATTTGCATATTCTGTTGGTATCAATTGCAATTCATCTTAACACTAAATAAAAAGAGTCCTAAGAGTTATATGTTGAAGAATCATAAATGGTACAATTTTAAATGGCAGAGCACTTGTGATTTTCTATATTTTCACTCAAATGGCAGACATTGAAGATAACTTGAAACCGGCAATATAGCAGAGTTCTAGCATGAACAAGATTTTCCTTAATCGATCGTAGATGAAATTGCAAACCTGAACAAGATTTTCCTTAATGGATCGTAGAAGAAATTGCAAATGGTTTGCAATTTGTGACTATTGTTACTGCAATCTGAAAAGAAGTAAAACAAGGGCTCTCCATGTTGATGGGCATCATTTTTTTTCCAAAAAACATGATATTTAATGTTAAACAAGATTTTTCAAAAACATCATAAGAACATTACTAGCTATAAAAAAAAAGCAAACTGGTTCATGGAAGTGTAATATTAGCTAACATATAAATATCATTGCATGGGAATCATATCACTATCATTGAATGGGAATCGTACCATACAACTAATCTAGAATTCTGAAGGTGTTAGGAACGAACTTCTTTTATTAATCAATTATCAACTATGAAACGTGATACAAGGTAAAGAAATACTTAGAGGTTTAACAAACTAAGCTAAACAATAGGAATAGGATAAACATATGAAATTATTATTATCCTACATTATCCTATACTCCCCCTTAAGATGGAGCATGAAGATTCTTGATGTCCATCTTGCCAAGAAGAAAATGAAATTGGTTTGTTCCAAGGCCTTTTGTCAACATATATGCCATGTGGAAAACCAAGGCCATGTTGGTTTTTGAAACCATGGACTATGAGATGAGAAAGATTATTGGAAAAGGTCCCCATGTTCCTATGTACCAACTCATAGTCAACAACGCTCCCGTTGGCCCCCTAAAGCAAAAGCCAGAGACGAGTTATGATGACGATAACAAAAGACTGCTCAGTCTTGATGTAAAAGCTAGGGCTGCTATTGGAAACTCTCTTCAATACCACGTGTATCATGTCGTACAGAATTGTGAATCAGCCCATGAGATGATCAACATGTTGACAGTGGCTTATGAAGGCATTGTGGAAGTCCATGCTACCACCATCAATAATCTTAATTGGAGATGCAAGAATTTCTTTGCTCAACAAGGTAAGTCTCTTACCCAAACCTTCAATAGGTTTAGTTGTTTGGTTAATGATATGCGCAGGCTAGGAATTGTCAAGCACTCAACAAAGTTGGTTTTGAAGTTTCTCGATTCTCTTGGGAAAAGTTGGGAACAAAACTGATATTCTTAAGAACGGTGAGAAGATGGATACCATGGATCTGAATTCCTTTTTTGGTAATTTACGAAACTACGAAGAGACCAAATATCTTCAAAAATAAATCATGAAAGACTCAAGCAAGGAGAAGTCTGTTTCCCTGGTATCTCGAAAGGAAGCAATAAAGCACATCATCAAGTCAGATAGCTCAGATGAGCTTGTTGCCAGCGTTGCACTTATTGTCAAGCGTTAAGAAGAAAGAAGAGAAAATGGGGCTAGAAGAGCTCAGTTCAAGGGAAGCATTTGAGCAAAGAGATCCACTTCTGGGAAGAGGAACTCAGGTAACTGCTTTAATTATGGTATCCCTGACCATTTTGATAGGGATTGCAAGGAGAAGAAAGAAGCCCAGGGCCCTAAGATCTGTGAAGTCTTGTACAAGAAGTTGGTGGCTCATATGATGAAGGAAAACATTTCTCTTCCCAAAGCTTTCATTGCAAAACAAGAGGATCATGAATAATTGGTGGATGAAGAGGATACATTTGAAGATGAGGGGCTGAATGTCAAGGGTATTATGGCTGTTATAATTGATTCCCCTGATGGCATATGTGACGCTGATAGTTCTTACGCTGACACCAAATCAAATACAAATCTAGGAAAAACTTGGTACGTAGACAGTGGAAGCTCTAGACACTTGACTAGTTACAAGTCCATCCTAACAAATTTTGTAGAGAAGGATGGTCCAATGGTAACCTATAGTGACAATAGTGTAAGAGCTGTTACAGACATAAGAACTTTCGAATGAAGCATGATTAAGCTGGAGGATGTGTTTTATGTAGACGGTCTGAAAGGCAACTTCATCTCCGTCAATCAACTTTGTGATGCTAGTTACAAAGTGCTTTTCAACCATCATGAAGGAAAATTGTTTGATACTGAAAACAAAATCGTTCTTTCTGATATCAGGGAGAACGATATTTATTTGGTTTCATTTATTGGTTTAGACGCTGATACATTATTTTTGTTTTATGCTTTGCAACTTTTAAAAATCATGAACATAAGATGCTATTTTTATTTACTATATCTTTTTGTAGCTTAAAATTTTCTTTTGTTTTACCAAAGGAGTATTCATTGTAAATACACATTTTTCTACTAACATTGCTAATGTTCGTTCCTCTCGTTCCTTTGTATGTGTCAGGACCTTCTATCTTCATCTCAACATTGATCTTAACTGATTAAGATCAAGATATCATTACATGAATGCATCACCTCTCTTGTAAGAGCTAGTTGACGCTGACTATACATCTTTTCTTCAGCACCAACTGCCCTTTCACTGATGCTGATGCACACGCTGATTCACATTTTGCTTTATGTTGATGAGGCCAGATGGGGGATAATTGTGCCACTAGGTGTTCTTCTGGGCACATATCTCCTCCGCCTTGTGCAGCCTATTTCGGTTGCAATGAGATGAGGTGGAGTTCCATGACTTGGTGCGGGTAACTTCTAGAGACGATGTCACTGCAACTCCATCACCTCGAAGATCCAAAGGCGTTTTCAACAAGACAGTGATCCCACCTTCTCTTCCCTCAGGGATCTGAATGTATGGAACCTTTGAGTTTTGTCTTGATGACTCTCATAACTCGAAGGATACAAAGATTGGATCTCTCTAACTCGTGTATTAAAAAGACTAGTCCATGTTCGTGTTTTGTTCTAGGTGAACATGAACCTCAACTATTAAAGGCATTATCTCTCCTTTTTTACTATGAATTGTGTTGTTTTTGTGTGATATGGTTGATCTTGTTTGTTCTCTTTTATAGCCAAAAATTCAACGGGGGTAGATATCTCAGAAAATGCAAATACATTAATGATCATTTAATTCCAAAGATTTTATGGAACAAGTCTTTATCACCTTTTTGAAAAAGCTGAACATTTTGCCTGTTTAAACTATTTTCTTGTTTGACTAAGTCTTTGTTTTGTATTCTTATATTGTTTATTCTTTTGTACCATTTTGTAAAGGAATCCGACGGTGGTAATTTTGAGGCTAGTATGCAAGTTTTGACACATCATCGTCCCTAGTAGCATGCTGCTGTATGTGACAAAATCTCTCTTAGTATCTCATCAACGAGACCATGTGCTGAGAACATTGAGTCACCTTCTCATGCTGATTGTCTATCAATGTCTAAACTCTCAAAGTGAAATTTCCTGGTCCAAATAAAAAAAAAATATTGACAAAAAGGCAGGTTTGTTTATTTTTAATTTAATCATCTTTACTTTACCCTATCCCTAGAAGAATCCTTGTCGTACGTATCTTGTCTCATCTTCTGCTGAAACATTGTGCATAACCCAATGGCTTACCCTGATTCCATAGTCATCAGCATAAGAGTTACTTGTCCGTTCCTTAAATGACAAAGGGTTGTTCATGTCCCTCACCTCCTAGTCTGAGGTGTCACATGGTACAATTATGATTTAACAATGAATCTTTGATTCTAGATTGCAACTTACTCCATGATACAAAAGTTTAAACCACTTTTTGTTGATGAGTTAAGTTGTTAATGATTCACGCTAATTTCACCTCAACGTGACTAAAACAAATCATTCTCTCCACTATTATTCTAATATAGAACTTGATGATTCACTATGTAAAATCACACACTAATAAAAGTTTGAAAGTTTGTGTCGATGGTTAGTCTAAGTACCGTAGGCTATCACATGCACCAATCCACTCTTGCCCTTACATTCTTCTTTAAAGTTTTATGGTTCAGCACAATGTACCATATGCTACTAAGACTTTGACAAATCTATGTCGATGGGTATATCATTATCCGTGATATATTACACGCACCTATCCACTATTGTCATTTTTCTTCTAATAAAAGAGACTTATGATTCAGCGTATGAAACCACATGCTAATGAGATCTAGCAATACTATGTCAATGAATGGTAATTTTAGCCCACACAATCAGGAGACATCACAAACTAACAACATGATCATCATAAATTCATTCGATGATCGCTTAAGTTGATGCTCATTACTGTTGATGACTTGTCTCACTGATGTAACTTCCTTGTCTCAACGATAACTTTTTGGATAACTTCTAAAAAGGTTCTTCATTATCTTGGGATACGAGATCTTTATGACGCATATATTGTCATTCATGATTACGTAAAAATGAAGAAACTTTTTGCGTATAAATTGGGAATTCTTCATCCTAGGTCACTTTTACAAGCAATTCAAGCAATTCAACTCCCTCTCTCAAAAATACTCCAAATCCAAATCTCCCTCAAAGCTTTCACCATGTCAAAGCCCTTCTGTAAGTTTGCCCCCAACGCTAACATCATCAAAGGTCCTCATGATCTTGACTCTACCATCATCATTCAATCCACTAATGTGGCGTTATCGGATGAAATTCCAATGAAGTTCGCAAACTTAGGAA